GCGCCCCTCCCGCCGCTCCCGGGTCACAGACTGTGACAAGGCCTTATTGCCTGTCTCGGGGAATTCATTTCCTGTCTCTCTTCCGTTCCACCTCTCTGGGGCTCCGGGCCCCCCCCCCCACGCCCCAGCGCGGCGCCCCACGCTTGCCAGGCAGCTGCGCCTTCATTACTCCACCGCCACCGCGTTTCCAAATCGGCGCTGCCCGGCGCGTGGGCAGGAGCGGCCGGGCGCTGACACCATTAGCGGCCGCGCGCCCGGCTAATGAGGCGGCGGAGAGAAAATTAAGGGGAAGCAGCACCCAGGCAACTCTCTCTGTGTGGACGGGAAACAAGACAGCAAGGAAAAGGACACGCTGTTTACGACCGCTGCCCCTCCCCGGGACAGGAGCTGGAGCCTGGTGTCGCCTACTGCTCCCCACGATTCGCCCCTGGGGATCTGTGCCGCGGGAGCGGGCAGTCACCTTACCGCGTCTGTAATTGCTAGGAAACCTCACATCCTGTCCATACCTCCAGCCTGGTCATGACCAGGAGCCAGGCCAGACCAGAGCTCTGCAGATGTTTCTAGAAGCTGTTGTTTTGCCACCAACCCGCTACCCCTCTCACCTGGATGGCCTCCGGCCTTGGTTTTCTCTGGCCCCTCCCAGCATGTTCTCTACCTGGAGCAGAGACTTCACCCCCAATGCTCATTTGATTACGCTCCCTCTCCGCTTGGAATGATGTCATAGATTCCCACCGTTCTCGAGACAAAGGCTCCAACCCTTAACCAGGGCCCTGCCGAGGGGCTTGTCTCAACCGGCTCCCTCCTGCTGTTCCCTGTGCAGCCACTGGGTCCCTTCTCCAGGCCTGTGTGGCAGGACATTTCTGCCCCAGGACATTTGTCTGGCCGGTTCCTGTTTACCTGGAATGGCCTCTCCTCCCCTCTTCACACAGCTAAGGCTTCAGCCTTAGAGCTCACTCAGCACGTGCGTGGAGGGGCCTGTGACCACCCCCCAAACAGGGTCAGGAGCCCTATTTGGCACTTTCAAGGGGTGGAGGCCTCTGCTCTTCACCTGTTCTTACTACAGCAACGTCACAGGGGTGTGTGTGGTTGTCTGACCTCCCTGAGGGGCAGTGCCACGGGGGCAGGAAATACCCGTGTCTGCACTCGATACACTAACTCCAGCACTGGCCGTGGCAGCTTCTCAGGAATGTCTGCTGAATGACTAAAGAAACACCGCAGAGGCTCACTGGCTGAGCGTCAACCCAGGCACCAAGAGGTCGCTGGTTCGATTCCCGGTCAGGGCCCAGGCCCAGGTTGTGGGCCCGATCCCCAGTGGGGGGCGTGCAGGAGGCGGCCAGTCGATGTTCTCTCTCATCGATATTTCTCTTTAAATATCAATCAAGGAAAAAAAAGAAAGAAAGAAAGAAAGAAATGCTTCAGGGATGCCCGTGGGAAGCATGGCTATGTGGTTCACGGGAAACAGTACGACGCTGTCCCTACACTTCCCCACGCGTGGGCACGCGCGTGTGACTATTTCTGACCTCCAGCACTGCACCCCCACCACCAGCTGTGGGCCTCTGGGCATCAGCACCAGCTGGGAACAGGGCTGAGGAACCGGCATGCTGACTGCTAATGGACGGTGCTCCCCGAAGTGCAGTCCGGGTTCCCAAACGGATGCTGGCTGAAGAGGCCGGAAGGAGCAGGCCCAGGCCCGGGGCTCTGGCTGGTGCTGTGACTGTCCAGCCCTGTGACTTGGGGAGGTCGGGTCCCATCTCAGCGTGAGGCTGGACTTACTCGCCCACCCGTGGGGGCTCCAGCGTTCTGTTCTGGGGTCCAGCCCCACAGTGCTCCTCAAAGACTCGGGGTGAGGAAAGTAGAGCTTCCTTGTGAAAAGGTAACAGGGCCTGCGCTGTCCTTGCGGGGACCTGGCCTCCAGGTGAGGCAGGAGAGGGAACTGGGAGCAAAGCCCTTTCTCCAGACGGAGCGCCCGCCCCCCAGGTCAGCGAGTGGCGGTGGCAAAGCAAGGTCGGACCGCACGCGAGTGTTTCTCTGCCCTCCCGTCTGTTCCCCTGCAGGCCGGCCCACCTGTCCTGACAACTTCCCGAATTCAAACCTGGCCGCTGCCGGCACCTGCCCTGCGCCCCCATCCCTGACTCCGGTGTTAACTAGAGGTCAGCCAGGCAGAAAGGCCTGGCATTGTCAACATGCTTGTTCCCGAGCAGTGACACGGCTTTGATGTTCGCCGCAGCACTGTCCTCGGCGCGGATGGATGCCCGAGTCCGCCTGCTGCGGCGATGGCGCCTTTGTCTGGGCATGAGGGAACTGTGATTTATGTCATAAGCTCGCTGTGAAACCTTTTGCCTCAGTAATTCTGAGCTCCGTGGGTGTCTCTTTACATCTATTTCAAGCGCGGCTGCTGCCCACGGACCGCGTGCTCTGTGACATTCCCGGCGCCTCTGTGTACGCCTCGCCACGGCGCAGAGTTTCGCCTGCGGTGTCCCTTTGTGGCCTGTTTCTGTGTGTTTGCTGCGCGCTCCATGGGGCTGCTGAGCAGAGCTGGTCCGTCCCTTTGATGCCTCGTGTGGTGATTAGACCCCTTCCCCGGTGGAACACGCAGGTGGTCTGGGTGGAGGAAGATACTGCGGCCAGATTTCCAGAGTGTTTGCCCTGGTTGTCCTGGGCCCAGGCAAGGACATCACAGGCGCTTGTATCTTTGCTCAGAGGACGCTCAGGAGGGTAAATGAGTTCTGGCCATGGGCGCCCCCTAGAGGTGCGGCCGACCTCAGCACAAAGAACTCATATCCCCATTTCCAGGGATTTAACAGTAAGCACGGTGCCCTGGAGTTACTGGAGCCCCCTTGACTGAGGTGCACGGAAGGCAACTGTGGGCAATGGTTTCTGTGAAGGCCTCGAAGTGTTCAGAGTCCTCAAGGAAACTCCACTTTGATTCGTTGTCACTTCTAGGAGCCAACACTTCTCATGGCCTTTTGACCCCCCGCTATAGGAAACTGCCCCCCCAACCCAACCCAACTTGCACCTCCACTGACCATGCTCCGTTCCTGTGTGGCTGACACAGGACAGGGCTCCTTGAGACCCAGAGGGGGAGGGACTGTGCCTTGCCCTGCGTGTCCAGGTCAAGGTAGAATAATCCCCACAGCCCTGGAGACAGAGTTCAGGTGTTAGAAGTCCTGTCCCCAGGGAAGGTACCCATGGGGCTGCACCCAAGGCTTGGAAACCTGGGCAAAATCGCCCAACTAGAATGGCTTCAAGGCCAACAGAGGATTATTTCTAGTCTCTACCGAAATGCACTGACCCCTTTTTTTGTCTTTAAAACAATTTGCCCCAGATATTTTTCACTGGTGGCCCATCACGTGAGGCTGTTTCTTTCCCATTCTTTATGCAGTTTCGCATGGTGATGGCTGCCTGTGCATCTTGGTTTGAGGCCAACACAGTGCGACCTGGAGGGGCAGTGGTGGGTCTTGCTTCCCTGTTATGTGTTGATGGACTAAGCCTGCTAATATTGGGACATGTTAAAATGTAAATAAGGAATATAAAAGGTAAGTGTTATAGAATATCAAACTGCTGACATTTCTTCCCTTTCAAAAGTCCACACCCTGGAGCCACCGAATTAGTGGGGTGCCACGTGTGTCCACACCTGGAGCCACTGCATTAGTGGAGTGCCACGTGCGTCCACACCTGGAGCCACTGCATTAGTGGAGTGCCACGTGAGGATTGCTTGGTGATAGTGTGAAAGTTAGCATAAGACACTTATCATAAAATTTGGCAAGGAAGCCCTGGCCAGTTTGGCTCAGCGGTTAGAGCGTCGGCCTGCGGTCTGGAGAGACCCGGGTTCGGTTCCCGCTAAGGGCATGTACCTCGGTTGCAGTTTGTCCCCGGCCCTGGTTGGTCGTGCGGGTGGCAGCCACTCGATGTGTCCCTTCACGTCGATGTTTCTCTCTCTCTCCTTTCCTCTCTCTCCCTCCCACTCTATCTGTACAAAAAATGGAAAAATATCCTCCGGTGAGGATAAAAAAAAAAAAAAAAAATTTGGCAAGGAAACGCTCTGGGAGCTGTTTGGGTGGATTGTCTACCTTTCATCTGTTTTCACAGACAAACGACTCTGCATACATCTACAAGGCAGATGGCATTTGAGAGAAACGCGTGACTCTACTATTCAGACCACCTAGAACACTGCTCTTTTTGGATAACAGCCTTTCACCTATTTGTTCAAAACTTGTCAGGCCGTGAAGCATGTGACTTACCTCTGACTGGTGAGTGTGGGAAGGGAGTGATTTTTAAATTAAGCATGCCTAGTTTCACATCCGAAGGAATGACTGACCTTCAGAGAAACCTTTTGGGGAAGACAATCTCTTACTCCACCCAATACTTTTGGGAATTTTTCTTTTGGAAATAGTTCCCGTCTTTTGAGTATTTCCTCTGATGAGACATCGTTGTCCTTCCCCTTTCTTATTTCAGATTAGAGCTGACATGTGGGAAAGGTGACCAGCTGCTCCGAGTCAAGTCTGCAAAGTGCGGTTGAGGTCCCAGCACAGCCCGGACTCCGGACAAGTCACCTCACTGGCGGAAACCAGGGTATTTCACAGGGACGCATGCGGACGGAATGAGGGGAATTTGCAAACGTGCAATTAATCTCATTCACAAGCTTGGGTGTTTTCATTTCCCAGCAAATGCCAGATGCAGTAAGAAATCTATTTTCATTATTTTGGAAACTACAACAAAGGATGGACTGTCAACATAACTGAAGCCATGACAGCATCATCGAAGTAAGTGTGTGGAGTCCCCAGATGCAACCTCTTAATTTTCCAGTGTCTGGAAGCTTTGGAGTCCTGGCTCGGCAAAGTGTGGTCCCAAGACCAGCAGCCTGGGCCTCACCTGGTAACAGAGACGTGGACTCTCCCACCCAGACCCACGGAGTCAGAATGTGCATTTCCCGGGCCCCTGGGAGTCTGAGAAGCGCTGCATGCCAAGCGCGGGGTGGGAGGTCCCTAGCCACTTCTTACCTTGGGGAAGGCGTCGGGCCACACGGTGGGGGAGCCGTGGTTGAGCAGCGCCTGCACAGTGCGCGCGGACGCGGCCTGGGGCGCGCAGGAGGCCGCCTGCAGCACGCGGGCCAGCGGCGAGGAGCCCCCGTAGTCCACCGCGGCGGGGTCGGCGCCGTGCTGCAGCAGGAGGAGCGCCAGGCTGGGGCGCGCGTGGCCGCAGGCCTTGTGCAGCGGGCTGCGCTCGTCCTCGTCGCGCGCGTTCGCCGCCGCCCCGTGCCGCAGCAGCAGTGCGCACAGGCGCAGGCCGCGCTCCTGCTCGTCGGGCCGCAGCGCCGTGCCGCACGCCGCGCTCAGGGCCGTCTCGCCGCGGCCGTTCCTCGCGTCCACGCGCGCTCCGCGGCCCAGGTAGAGGCGCGCATGCTCGTCCAGGCCGTGCTGCGCCGCCACGTGCAGCGGTGTGTCCCGGCCTGCGCCGCCCACGCGATGCACCGAGGCCCCGTGCTCCAGCAGCGCCTGCGCGCACCTGCGGGGAGGCCAGGACCGGTCACCGACCCGCACACTCCACCGCACCCGCCACGGCCTGGCCGCCGCTTAGGGGGCTTCGGACACCCCACGGGGCGAGTGGGTTCCCTGAAGGGCAAGGGTAGCCCGCAATCAGGGCATAAGTTCAGCTCTCCTGTGCCCAGGTTGCGGGAATTTAAACAGCTGACCAGATAGATAAATAGATAGATAGATAGATAGATAGATAGATAGATAGATAGATAGATAGAAAGAAAGAAAAGATGAAAACACGGTGAGTACCAGGCCCACGGGTTACCAAATGGCAGGCGCAGCTAGGAAGATTCCCGAGAACCCACGCAGCGCGGTAAACCTTACAGCAGCTTGTGCCTGCCTCCCGCCGCTTGGGGAGGCCGACGGTGTGGAACGGTAACTACCCGGACTTTTCGTCGCATGTGGACGTTGAGGGCCTGGTAGTCACGGCGGGTCCCTTAGCCCACAGGCTCTTCTTCAGCCAGCATGTACGTCTTCTGTGAACTGCTCTGCTTTGGCGACGCGTGGACAGAGTGAGGCAAGGCTTGGCTTGCACCCACGGAGGAATCTCTCCAGCCCCCACGCACTGGCGCAGACTGGCCCGGGTGCCCTCACCGCACGGCGAACACAGCCGCGCCTAACTGTGGGCAGCCTTTGTTTCAACCCGACTCTCCTTGAACAGACTGTGGATTTTAGCTGTCCCGGGATTCCCCAGTGGTCTTCTGGGGTCTGGGCTTCCATGGGAGACTGTGGTCTCCTCCAGGTCCACCAACTGGAACCCAAGACGGTCCTCTCCTCCAGGCACCAAGCCTCTCCCAGGAGGGCAGCTTCCACGGGAGGGAGGACACTAACTGCCTCAGCCTAAGCTCAGGTGGCAGCTGCTGACCAGGCCGCCGGACCTGGGGCCTCAGACACCAGTGGGAAATAGCCTGTCCCAGCCTAGAGCGGGAGGACAGTCACACAGACCCTCCTCCATTCTGCGTGGTGGGCACTGCCCAAACACCAGCCCTCTTCAGTCCCCGGGCTCTGGGGTCCCCTCCTAGACATCGCCATCGATGCGGCTGCTCCACCTCTGGAGTCTGACAGCTCAACATGCCACATGTGGACCAGTCTGGTGTCTACTGGAGTCCCTGACCCCTCATTGTCTCAGCCCTTCGAGCCTCCACTCCTCCCCGGGCAGCACGGCAGACACTGTCCTTGGCCTCCTTGCTTCCCTTGAATAGAGGGGACAGGCCCCCCTTGTGCCAGACAACCAGATCGTCAACCTGGGACCCCTCCGTCATCCACCCTCGTGCCCCTTGGTTGCTGAGCGCCACCGGGGGAAACGACACCCCTGGACTGGCTTCGCGCCTCAGGCGGGCCTTGGGGACCTCTGGTTCACACTTTCCAGTGCCGAAGGCCAGCTCCTCTCTCCTGCCAAACGGCAGGGACTCCAGGTGTCATCACCATCCCCCCTTTCGGTGAGCTCCTCGCGCTCCACGCAGGGGTGCAGGCGCCCCAGAACCGCACCCTCCCCGCCGCAGGAGCTCACCTGCTCCAGCTCCTGTCCACGTGTCCGAGGGAGTCTTCTCGCCGGCTCCGGGTTCCAGAGAGGGCGTCCCTCTTGCTCCCCCTCCCCTGGCCCTCCCCTGCTTCCTGGGAGTCTTGCTCTGTAAATGATTTGTCTTTGCGTTTTTCCTGTCCTCTCCCACCCCTCAGTCCTGTCCACTCCATCATCTCGAGCCGCCCCAACTGCTTCTCCCTTTCCCCGGTCACTTCCTCTGTGGACCCCACAGCAGTTCTCGCCTGCACGGTAACAACAGTCTCCCGATTTGTCCCCTGCTCCAGTCTCACAAGCTCCACACCTTTCCTGTGGGACTCGGATGACACGTGCCCAGGACACAGGACGCTGAGGGACTGAGCTCCCGTGGGCCTCCCCAGTCTCATTTCCCAAGGCTCCGTCCTCTGCTGCAGTCCTACCTGACCCGGCGTGGTTCTCAGGACGCATCCTGGGGTTCGCGCCCCCGTGCCTTTGTGTGTGCGGCTCCTCCCGGGACGCCCTGCCCCCCGTGAAGGCTGGCACCTTCCTGTCTCCCCCCTGCCTCTCGGGCACCTGCCCGAGGGTCACGTCTTTGTGTTGTCATATGCCTCGTACATGCCTGGGTGCATCTATCGGACCATGTTTCACAACCATTGGCTCCTTGAGGGTGCAAATGGGGGACTAGTCACCTCTGCTACGCGGTGCCCAGCGCAGGGCAGCCGCTGTTGGTTTTCCTTAAAAGCACAGGGAACAAAGGCATTTCCTTGATGAGCCTCGTTCAGCTCTGGCTCATGTTACTGCCGACTCTCCTGTGCCTACCTCGCGGGGCTCTGGATGAGATTGTCCACGAGGGTTTCCACGCGGCAAGCGGCTGCCGACAAACGCGCTTACACGTCTGCCTCGGGACCCTCAGCGTTTCCGTTCTCGGCATGTCTGATGCCTCATGGCAGCCGTATCTGAGACGTGCTCTGGTGGGTGAAGGATCTTTATAAACAAGCACAGTCTGTGGGAAATGGCCTTTGGGACAGTAACCGGCTGGGAGGGGGTGCAGCTTCAGCAGCAGAGAGCTTCAGCCTGGCCCCCTCCGTGCCTCCCCGGAGGAGTCGTGAACAGGGGAGCAAGAGGTTACAAATCAAGGCTCGCGTCTCAGTTCCCACTGAGCCTGCGCGCACTCGCAAATGATCACGAAACATTTGCTTCTGCCTTTTTAGAAAAAAGCAGCCCGGCCTCTCCAGGGACACCCACAGGGAAGTGCAAGTGGTCCTCCTTGCGGCCCCCGCAGCCCGCCGTGTGCGGCCAGGGCACCCTTCCGAAGAGCAAGGGCAGCGGCCCGCCCTCGAGGGCGGCGGGGCCCGCTCCGTTTTTAACGAAGGGCTTCTAATTGGCGAAAGCGTGGCCTTTCATCCAGCAGTTAATGATCAGCTGCAGACCACGGGCGTGAGGAGACCACACAGCCTATCGACTGGGGCACACCTCTGCGGGGCCGCACTGGGCAGTCACTGAAAACGGGGGTGTGGGAGCGTGCTTCAAGCCGTGGACAGCTATTCGCAGCCGTTGTGCGAGAAGATCAGGCTACAAAACAGGGCTGGACGGTCCTGGTTTTCCGAAGCCGATACGCGTATGCACCAAGAGCAGCCTAGAGATGCCCAGGCCAGAGAGTGTTTACCTCCGGCTGACGGCTGCTTTACTGCCTCGTGCCCGCCGGTATTTTCCAAAAGGAATCAGAGCTACGGTTCGAAGGAGGCACCACAGAGGTCATTAATAACAAACCAGCCCCGCCAGCCACAGCCCTGGGTTCTGAGAAGCTAGCGTAGCTTTCCAGGCGCCCGGAACGCGCTCACGTCTTCCGTCGGTCTGTCCGGGCATAAGCAGTGACCGCGGGGAGGATCCGGAGGAAGGGCAGGGGTGGGTGAGAGGGACCCCGTGACAAGCAGGGAAATGGAAACAGTCTCGGGGACCCCCCGGACCTGACTCTGTGTTTGTCAGGGTCTCCCGTGGAAGGAGACGTGGCCCAGCGGAGACAGCGCCGCCCAGCCCCGTGCGGGACCGCAAGTGGCCCAGCTGCACCCAGCCCTTCCCCCCAGGGGAGGTTCTGTTTGATTCCTGCTGCCCCGATGGACAGACAGGCCAGCCAGGGAGGCCTGGAGGACAGGCCCTGTCAGTACCCGCGGGTGGGCTCCCATCTGAGGGTGTCAGAGCAGTTCCTCATCCCCGTCTTTGACAAGGACCGAGGTGACAGGCTGCAACGGGCACGGGGGTGACTGAATGGAAGGGGTGGCCGGAGCCGAAGGCAGGAGTTCATGCAGATGAGCCCATCAAGGGCTGTTGAGTGAACGTCATTTTCGCTTATTTCTCAAGGGGGAGGAGGGCTCTGAGCCCATGTCCCGCACGCTGCTCCCTCCCACCTCCAGCGTCTCCCCGAAGCACCGCTGTCCCGCCTCTTAGCAGGGCAGAAGGTCCACATGAAGGCCACGGCCTGGGCTTTCCTACGCTTCGCCTCTTCCAACCCTTGCCCACCCCCGCCAGGCCTCCCTGCACCCCGCGGGACAGCCGCTCAGGGCTCTCCCGGCCGGCCGGCCCTCCGCCATCACCCTGCTCACACAAAGCCCTGAGAAGCGGAATTCCTGACTGGGGTCCGGAGCTGAGCGCTCACTGCTTCCCTACTCCTTGGTCTTGCTATTTGATTTAAAAAAAAAAAATGTTATCTTTAGTTCTTGCAACAAATCTGCATTATAGGCTGAATTTACAGGTGGGGAAACTGAGGCTTAAAAGACCAGTGATTTGCATGAGGCCATACAGCCAGCACATGGCAAGGCAGGGACCTCGATGGCCGTGTCTGCCACCCGCTGACTTCTCCCTGGTGTTATTTGGGAAGCACCTATGAGCCAGTCACTGTACTGGGTGTTTTCCGCGCCATCTCTAAGCTTCGTTCATGTGTTCGTCTGTTCATTCGTTCGTGCACTCAGAGTATCGTCTGCGCTCCGTGTGACAGCCTCTCAGGCAGGGGCAGTGTTCCTTCTCTGAGTCCTCCACGTGAGTTTCCGGACGGACGGCTGACAGGCCACTGAAGGCCGTGGACCTGGTGCTGTGGGGGGCCACGGGCACCGCTTCTTGCCCAGTGCTGCAGGGAAGCTGTTATTCTCCCCAGGTTCAGTGAGGACTCGGGGTTTGAGGTTTGAACAGTGACCTCAAGGGTGGGGACCTAGGAGATGACGGGGACCCTGTAGCCAGCACCTCTGCTCGGGGTGAAGCCCAGCTACCGCCGGCCAACAGCACGGTTCAGCCACCACCCCAGACGGCACTGAGGGGGCAGGTGCAGCAGAGACACAGAATATTAAAAATAAGGCTAAATCAGAGCAGTCACGGAACTTTTCGTGGGGAAACATTAGCACAGCGCTCTGCGAGGTCTCTTAGGCACCTGTCTCCTGAGCAGTGGTCCCACCAAGTTCTGGCGTCCTCAGACCACTGGACGG